TGCATGGAGCTTATGAGCTCAATTTGCTAGTTTCTTAAGTTTTGAATAAAAGAGTTTGAAAGATTTTACATGCATGCTTTGTTTCTTAAATTTCAAGATGGAATGTGAGTTTTTGGCAAAACCTTGGGCCATGATTTTATGAAATGATCCTAAATTCTTCATGTTTTACAAGTTTACTATGTTATCTCAAGTTTTGGGGCCCAAGAGATGTGTTTTGTAAAGTTGAATTCGAGTTTTGAGCTTGGTGATCAAATCTGAAAATTCCAGAATTTGCATCCACGCTCGAGTGTGGGAGTTCACGCTCGAGCGACCACTCTGAGTGTGTGCACTCCGCTCAAGCGACCAAAAGTCCGCTCGAGCGTGAATTGCAAGCTCCCAGAAGTTTCATGCCGTTTACAGATCGCTCGAGCGAAAGAATGTGCACTCGAGCGACCATTCACATTTTGCATGTCCGCTCGAGCGTGTAAGTTGTAGCTCAAGCGTAAATTGAGACCAACCGGTACTTTTTTCCAAGTTTGCAGATCGCTCGAACGAAGGAAGTCTCGCTCGAGCGACCCCTCTCATTTTGCATGTCCGCTCGAGCGAGGAAGTCTACGCTCGAGCGGGGTCTTTATTTTCAGAAAATTTGCCTAAGTGTTCTAACTCATGTTTTGACATCCTCATTGCATCTTAGGCATTCTTAAGGCCTAATTAAGCTTTGATAATGAGGTTATGGATTAGAAACACACTAAGTGAAGAATGTACTAAGTTCCGAGACTGCAAGTGTGTGTGTGTGTTTTAGGCAATGTGATAAGAAAGAATAAGAACCAATGTAATGAAAGCTAAACCTTAATGGCCACTTGAATGTGTAATGATAAGACATGCTTGTGTTATGTATTTTGTGATTGTAGGTGAAGACTCGAAGATTGATTGACCGTTTACTGGAACCACTGTGAGTAACGTTATCGTAAAGATACGTTTATATGAAATTATGTTCCAAATGAAATGTGATAAGCTATGATTTCTGAAATGATATCTGTTTTCGTGAACGAATAGTCCATGTCTGAAATCTATTATGGCATCCATAGATAGTCGCAAGTCATGGGAGACGGCATGAAAATGCGGGTCCATGACATACAAGTAATTACGAGATCTTGTTAGCCACTTTATTGTGGTGATATGTGTTTAATCGGTATCCGGAACCGGTTACTCTAGTCGGAAGACGTTCTGTACAAGTCATGGGAGACGGCATGAAAATGCGGGTCCATGACATACAAGTAATTACGAGATCTTGTTAGCCACTTCATTGTGGTGATATGTGTTTAATCGGTATCCGAAACCGGTTACTCTAGTCGGAAGACGTTCTATAATGTGTCCTATGGGATGTGCCATTATTATGTTCTGATATGAGAATGATTATGCTATGATCTGTTTTCTGTTTATGATATGTTCGGATTTCGTTCACTAACCTCTTTACCTTAATGTTATTCACTGGGCTTTAGCTCACTGTTTGTATATATATATGTATAGGTGAGCATTCTGGAGTTCAAGTCTGGAGACTTTTTGTCTGGATCCGTGTTCTGTTGTCAGCCAGCCATTGTGCCTCACGTGGAGGTTCTCGAAGTGTCCTGTGTTCAAGTTCTGTTGGTCCTGTATATATATATGACTTGATGTAATTTTGTTGGCTGTACTTCAGATACTTTAATGTGTGTGGGTATAATGTATGGTTGACTTTTGACTATGTATATAAAGTTTTAAATATTCTGTTTCATATAAGTCAGCACAGCTCATTGGACAACTATATTTATGTATTTGTTTCCGCTAGCCCCTTATTATATGCTTATTTACTCAGAGGCCTCCGGTAATCCAAGGATTACTGGTCGGTTACGATGCTAAACCTATAGGGGCGGGTTTGGGTCGTGACAATTAGTCAGTGAAATTTCATTAACTTGTGCTGTTGCACTGGTTTCAATTAGTGAAATTTTATTGACTTAGTCTCTGACTTGCACTTGCTTAAGTCAGTGAAATTTGACTGACTTGTGTACTTGCACTGTTTCAATCAGTGAAATTTCACTAAGTCTATCAATTTTTGACTGATGCCAATGAAATTTCACTTGACTTATGCAATTGCACTGGTTTCAATTAGTGAAATTTTATTGACTTAGTCTCTGACTTGCACTTGCTTAAGTCAGTGAAATTTGACTGACTTGTGTACTGGCACTGTTTCAATCAGTGAAATTTCACTGTCTATCAATTTCTGACTGATGCCAGTGAAATTTCACTTGACTTATGCAATTGCACTAGCTCAAACTAGTGAAATTTCTTCAAATTAATGACCTAACTTTTGCAATTGAGCTTGATATTTTTATCTTTTAGAGTTCAAAACAATACTTTTCATTGATTTTGTACAATGAAGTTTCATCGTGTAGAGTTAGAGAAATTTCACTATATATACAGTGAGATTTGACTGATTTAACATTAAAAATAAATAAATATTGTTATTTTGGAACCTTTAATTTGAATCTTTTAGTAATAAATTTAGAATGAAGGACCTAATTTTTTGCAATTAAAATCAATTTTAAATTTTTCTATGTAAAAAATATATTGTATTGATTGCACATCAACATTAGAGTGAAATTTTACTCTGTAGGAAGTGAGGGAAATTTCACCATGAGTAACAACGAACACAATAAAATTTCATGAATTTTTTTCTTTAGAATTTTATAATATTCATGGATCTTGTTTGAAAGATCTTGTCAATAGAATTTTAAAAATATAAATTTCACAAAAAATGGAAATGTAAATAAAAAGTTATTAAAGTTTGAAATTTTGAAAAAATTTAAACAATGTAAAATATAACCAACTATAGAGGACTATTTTTTCTAAAATAGTTAATTGCGTTTGTTCAAAGACTTGAACTACTATTAGAAAATTATTTGTCATTATTTTTCTTAAATAACATTAGTAGGGATATGTTTGCACCATAAATATTCTTCTGTCAATTGTGGCCAAATCTAATCTTATTGATTATGGCCTATCGATTGTGGCTATCATTTGTTGCTAGATCTAATTTTATTTATTGTGGCTAGTCGATTTTGATCTGTCGATTCAGATCATAAATTATCTTTTTAAGTGATTATGGGGATATTTCAATATTGTATTTATATTTATTATTGTTTCTTATAATGCTTTTGCAGGATGCAATGATTCCAAAAATATATGGCATAATTGAAGAAGTGGCAACGTAGAGCAGTTATGGAGTTTACAACCATGATGCTAGATATGTGGAAAGTGGAAGATTGGAATTTGGAAGATTGGAATGTGGTTGATATTCATGCAAAAGAAATGTGGTTTGATGGTAACAATATTTCTAGCAGTCACAAAGAGAAGGCTTTCGGTTTGAAGTCTATAAATAGGCAACGAAGATGCAAACAGAAGGACATCAAGAGATTATTAAACTTAGCAAAGTCTTTTTCTTTATTTTTAGGAATAGTCTACCTTAATTCTTAGGAATAGATTATTTTAATTTTTAGGAGTAGCTTTCAACAGTTTGTAATCTTGTAAACTTAAAAGATTTCAATAGAAACTTTTCTGTGTTTACTCCACTATTTCAATTGTTAATTGTTCCAAAAAAAAAAAAAAAAAAGTACTTTCAAGGCATTAAGATCTTTACATAGTCGTTTGATTTACTCATTAGCTATTTGGTTAAAATTATTGTTAAGTCTTTGTCGATCAAGGCCTAACAATAATTTTTACTAACAAAATCTTTAAAAAAAAATCTATATTTTAAGTAAATAATATGTTCCCAGACCGAACTAATATAATGTATCTTTTATTTATTAGTTGGCTTATGGTAAATGTAAAATTCAAGAAATCACTTTACACTCAAGCTTAAGTGGTTAAATGTATGAGTCGGATCCTCTGTAATCCTTTATTGTAGTGGATTCTAGTAGAGTCTCAAAACGACATTGTTTTAGTGCAAAACTTACCAAAAAAGAAAAAAAGGAAAAAATAAATAAATAGAAGTGAAGCGAAGCTGAAACAGACCCATCTTACATTTTCCTATCTTTCCACCCTCACTCGTGCCCTTCCCATCCACCCATCTACCATCGTCCCCATCCACCACTACTACGGGGCCCCCCATCTCTTCTCCGTCGGGCAAAGAAGATCGAGAGAGAGATCTTCACCCTTGATGAATACTTATGCTCTAGCCTCCTACTACCTTTCCCCTCCCGCTGTCCTTTGATGGGTATGTCTATTCTGATTTTCCCTTTCTCTCTAGAAACCCTTGTAGAAAACTCTCTTGTTTTTTTTTTTGTTTTTGTTTTAAAAAATCTTAAAATCATTTATTTATTAACTTGTTCACTATTGTAAAAAATAGATTTTGAAGATCGGTTGATAGATTGAGAAAAAAAGAAAAAAAAGAAAAGAAAAACTAACCCCTTCTCTAATTGCAAATCCACATATGTAGGTGTTAATCTGATATTCGAATCCTTCAATTTCTTTATGAAAACAAAATCAAATTTCCTCTCTAATTTCATTCTATTTGTAATTGATGATTGAAGTGTTTGGCTTGATAAAAATAGAATAATTGCGATGGTCGAATAGATAGAAGAGAAGTGAAAAGGGCAAAGATGAGATTGTTCTAGAGAAATCTTTACCCTTAGAAAGATTAAGAGATCAAAATATGGAGATTGCCGGAGAGGCTCACGTCGGTAGATACCACAGAATTGCCGGATAAATAATTAATGAAAGGATTGTCAACTCTCAATTACATAGGAATCACATACTAGCAGTTACATAAAATAATTTTTTTTCTATATTAGTAATAAACTATATAAAAAGACAAAAAAGCCCCCAAAGAACACGAGGCTGTCCAGTGAGTCCACATATGCTTTTCTTCTGCCGTAACATTTCTTTCATTCATCTGCAAAAATATTTTACTACTACAGTTGCTATGTACATATATACACATACATATACCAAAACCAAATAATTTTCTATAATATATATACGTAAATTGAAAAAACCCAACTGAATCTCCAATTTATACCTCTTTCTCTACCCCTCTCTCTCTATTCTCTCTTCTCTCTTCTCTCTCTACGCAGAAAGAGAAGCACAGCAGTGATCGATTTGTTCTTCCCCTATTTGGCTTTCTCAATCATCAACAAACGCAGAGACAGAGAGAAGAGACGAGAAGGAAACCCAGAAAACGAAGTTTGTTTGGGTGGAAGCATCAATGCCTGCTCAGAAGCGTAACTCATCTTCAGAGAATCTTCTTCACGATGACGACTCTCTGCAACAGCACTACCGTCGCAAACAATCGCGGCCTGAACGAGGAGGAGCTGAAGAAGAAGAAGAAGAAGATGATGAAGAAGATAAGCGAGACGATGAAGAACTGAAAGAAGGAGATGACCCAGAAGGAGAGGGTAACGTATCGTGTTTGTTGATTTCTTCACGCTTGACAGTGTATTTATGGATGAATTACAGTTATTTGGGATGAATGATTTGGTGTTTGTGTGTTGATTGATTGTGGGTTCGATCGATACTTCTCAGATTCCGATGGAAGCCGCTCGTCTGATGACCCTGCGAAACTATCCGAGTACTCTCTCTCTCTCTCTATATATATATATATATATATGTTTGTGTGGGCTTCGTTTTGAATTGTGCTTGGGTTGCATGTATTTTACTTTAGTTTCTCTCTCTGTGTTCAATGTCTCTCTCTGGTTTATGAGTTGATACATCTAAATTTTGCTTTTTGTTACGATAATTTATGAGTATTGATACGTGTATATGGACTATGGAGTATCTGGGTAATTTGTTTAAGTGAATTTCGGTGTGATGTTTGGTTGATTTATTTCATTTGAACTCTCTATTTTATTTGACTTAATGCGTGAGAAGTTGTTGCATGTTGCAATTTAAGTTAGCTTAATGATTGCCTGCTATCAAATGTCTATACTTCTAAAAATCTCAATTATTGTGTTGTGTTTGTAAGTTTGTGCTATATGAAATATTTTTGATTTTCCAACTTCATATGGTTTCTGGAATATGCTCATTCTGCATACATATTAACAGATTTTTATGTGGTTTTGACCAACTTGTTTGAATATGCTACCATGCAGTTTTTTGGCTTCCAAGTTCAAAGAAAGAATTCCCCTTAGCAGCTAAATCCTTCATGTGCACTTGTCTTGTATTTTTCTTGGGCAATAATTACAAGACTCTGCTTTGTTCTCCCTTCATTAAATGCCTTGCCTTGATTATCTAATTTTTTATATTTTCTTTTTTTGCTCTATGCACTTTGTCTCTACATTTTACTCTTACAAGCATTTATGGAGATTATGTGTTGACTAACTCTGGCTTTAATTTTGCTGGTTTTACTTGTTGCTGACTGGAAATGGATGTCTTTTTTGATGTTATTGCTTTTGGCATACATATTTTTCTCTCTGGTGTTTTAATTCGTAAAAGGTCCTTTCATGTTGCATTATGGACTGAATTCCTCTTGGATTGGCTTCAATATATTGGCTAAATCAGATGGACTTTGTTCATGGTTGAGCACTTCTCATACATCCATGATAGACTAGTCATCAAACTTTTCAGTGTTTTTTTTCTTATTCTGGATATTGAACATGACAGACGCTATGAGGGTTAACCTTATTGGTTTCTTTGAGACTCCTTCAAGAGGAAGATAAAGATCATTTTGGTAGAAATAATTCTCTATTCGCATCTTCCATGACTCGAAGTTTGAACCATTGAATATTTTAATCTCGATCTTACTTCTTCCATCATGGTTCTTGTACTAGGAACCAACAATCTGATATCAATCATGGAATAATCACAAAACTTTCACTTAAGCAAATACACATGTACAAACAACGGGTAGATCAAACACAAACAAGTAGCATACAAAGATTTACGTGATTCACCTCAAAACAAAGGATTACATCCACAAAATTACTCTGGTTTCATTATGATCTTCAATAGAGGAATTACAAGAGTCTCTTTCTTTCAATCTCATGAATTCCCTATATTGATCTCAACAATATCAGTCTCAATTGGTCTCAAGCAGAAATAATGGAGTTACAAAGGAGCATTTATAGTGCTAGTACATGATAATAGGAATACAAGTATTTAGAGTAAAGTTGCCAAAATCAGGTAAAAACATTGCCTTTTTTTGTGTGCACTATGGTAGTCAGGCCCACTTGAGTGCCCTTAGGCCCACTTGGCTACTAAGCAATATCTGGGAAACAAACTCACATGTTCTAGCCAACACGCACTCGACCGGGCCATCTAGCAGAACGTGGGACTCACCGGAAGTTTATAAGTTGATTAATGTTTTCAAGTCTTTATGCGTATCAGGAGTATTTTAAACATTCTTACTATTTTTTTCATTATTTTAGGACTTCTCATGGTTTTAATCATAGAATTAGAGGCCTATTAGGTTTTTTTTGTTGGTTTTGATTAGTTTTAGTAAGTCTCTGAGGTTTTAGGCTTTCAAAAGCCTATATCATCTCTGTTGTATTCTCTTCTCTATTTTCTTTGTAATATTTTATTCTCTCTATCATTTGTTGTTCATATCTCCCTCTCTTGGTTCTGCGCTCTTCTTTTGTCTTCTTTCCTATCTTTTCTCCAGATTCTTTTTCTTCTCCTATTTGCCTCTTGTTCTTTCTTATCATATTATGTATTTAAATAGAATAATATAAATCAAAATGCTTTACTTGCTGCCGTGAATATGAAGATTTTTTTGTGAGATCCGGGTTATATCAATAGAAACACAAGAATAAGATGAACATATAGCTAAAGTCTAGAAGTCAAGGCAAAGGAAGAGAATATTGTTGAATTTTGATTAAATTGATGAGGTTTTTGATCTAGATGCTATAAATCACTGAATTCATTTCTCATGTGGATTAGGAAACATTGTTGAAAACAACGGCTTCTTGTTTTTGAAATGGATAATAGTACTTAATTAACTTTGGGATATTATGCTCCAAGAATGTGAGTTTGATGCTCATGGTTTCTTATACTAGAAGTCTACGACACTATAAAACTCAAGGTTAAGTTCTGCAGATGTGGAGAGTATAATGCACATTATGCAAGTATGAAAGGACAAATTGGGAAGATCATAATTGGCCTATTTGGGACCTTATGTAATTGACTATTGGGTTGTGTAAGTTTGATTTTATATTATCTACAGGTAAATATCCTGCTGGTATAGCTCTTATTTATTTATTTATTTATTTGTTTAAATGTTTTATTAATTTTCATGAATCAAGCGTAGCTTGTTGATACCTTGTTTTATTGGATGTAGGTGGTAGTTTGGGCAAGTTATGTTATTGGATGATTATTTCAGTATTTATGGGGGTGTTGTTAATAGCACCAGCAATTTCTTTGGACTCCCCACTTTTCAGTTTTTTTAATTACAATTTTACCTTATAATAAAAGTCCAATTTTGTCCTTATCCCTAACCTCCCAAACTTTAACCCCACCCCAACCACCAACCACCACCCACCACCACCAGCTCCAGTCACCCTCTCTCGCCCATCACAAGCTCTGGACGCCACCTCTCAACCCTTCCCCGGCCTCCTTACCCCTCTCAAGCCTTGCATAGCCCTTTCACGCCCCTCCCTAGCCTTCCCCAACGTGTCCTCCCTTGTGCACACCTAGTTCTTCCTCCTTTTGCTATGATCGCCACCCCAACAACCCCCATGACCGCCACCACTCACGACCCCCATCCCCGCAACCCCCAACCCTCACAACCCACACCACCGCAACCCCACCTTTGCAATTTCTCTCTCTGCTCATGACACACTCTCTCTCTCTCTCTCTCTCTCTTCTTGCAACTTCTCTCTTTATGTTGCGATTTCACTATCGTTGGAATACACATGTACAAACAACGGGTAGATCAAACACAAACAAGTAGCATACAAAGATTTACGTGATTCACCTCAAAACAAAGGATTACATCCACAAAAGATTTGGTGGTGTTGGGGTTGGGGTTAGGGTTAGGGTTAGCGTTAGTGTTTAAGAGGGCGGAGGTTATTTTCATATTAAGTGGGGTGTAGAAAGAATTTTTACAAAATTTGAAATTAGGTGGTTGGAGTCTTTACAAGGAGGGGTCCAAAGAAATTGTGCGGGTGTGCGGGTGCTATTAGCAGTACCCATTTATGAGCTCTCAAATGTTGTTAGTGGTCAAAGTTTTTCATTTTTATTTTTCGAAATATTTTCCTAGTAGATTTTGGAGGGCCCAACTGAGATTATTCATGCAAGAGGATTTCGAGTAAATTAGAACTTGAGATTGTGTTTGTGTGATTTTGGTTAAACCTTATGAGAGCGAAGCCCTTCAGAATATTCTTCTTCTCCTCCTCCTCTAACATAAAATATCTTAGATACTATTCACTAGCTATTGGTCTTAGTCCCTAAACAGAATGTATTTGTTCACAAAACCTAGCTTGGAAGCCCTAATTAACCCTAACCCTTTCCCCTATCCTTTTGGTCACTAATCACCTTGGTTACCAATTCAATTTCAACATTTTTTTTATCTGGAAAGCTTATAAATTTCCTTCTGACTTGCTAAAAACCTAAACCTAAACCTAAACCTAAAACTTTCCCTTGATTTAAACCACCACATAACAAATTGTAGTTGGCATCATTCTAAGTATCCTAAAGCTGACCTGAATCAATAGTGGCTGGTGAAGCATGTCTGTGCTACGAACTTTATCTATGCTTATATGGTGATGAGGGAAATAACAAGAAGAATTATTAGTCTCCATACAAGTACTGCAATTAATTGTTCTACTCTCTCTAATCTTACCCAAAGATCTAAACTATAGTCGCATTACTACCAATTTAGCATGGTGTCTAACCTACAGGAAGCAACTTGCCTTCTTTTTTATCTTTTTCAATTATAAATATTTGCATGTAGAAAACATGTTCACACCTACTTAAAAAGCCTATCCTTTGTTAAATTGGTGTGGTGTCTTCTCTTTTCTTCCAAGAACTTGTGTGCCCATTGTCAAACAACCATGACTAAGCTGCTCATGTTTGCTCTTCTATCCAAGAGCTGGAATGATAGCTAATCTTGTTTGATCAATGTGAGATTTATTAATGAATGGCATGATCTATTAATCTTTTTGCAGATGGCTATTTGTGCAGTTACCAGCCCTTCGTACCTATGTACAATGTCCAATTTGTCTAGGTATTGTTACTATGCTCTGATACTGTAAAAATCCCTTTTCAGGATGTGATAAGTGCAAATGTTTTACTGCATCTTTGTTTATACATTGGCATTCATGTCCAAAATAGCTAGGTACTATTGTTGTCCTTTTTCATTCTCGTGTGCTTGGAATCTTTTACTGGAATGTGAGAACTGAAAATGTGTTTCTATATTGAAATGTAAAAATTGGTATTTGTATCCATTAAATATGATTTGTGAAGTTATACACATTGGAGAATTGAGAAGAAAGAGGGTAAATAGTAAAAAGAGCAGTCAAAACATGTTACCATAATTGCCAATCGATAAAGATCATGATATCAAATTCCTGCAATTGGTGATACTTTTCTGTTTTCATTTCTTCAGTAAGAACTTAGAGGTAATTCTTAAATTAAAGGGAAAATTACACTTTCCCACCTTCCCTGTCCACTCATCTTGTCCTTATCATCCTTTTGTGCTTCCTGCAATGTGGAAGAAGATTCATGTTGCTGATCATAGCTAGTTGGAATAAGGCTTTATCATATTGGAGTCTCGTGTATTTCTGAAACAATTCTGCAGTTTAGTATGAGATCCATGCTTTTGTTTTTAATGATGAGTCTACTGGAATTTAATATTCTTACAACTGGTGTCCAAGTAATCTCCATGGTGCAATCCCACTGTACAATAGAACAGAGTTATGAGGCATCAGATTTGCTGCATATGCATCAAGATATTCATGATCTAATGGAAAAGCCCATGCTTAACAACATTGTTATCTTTTTCGCTTTCAGTGCTGTGGTGTTTATGGTTTTTTTATGTTTGTTGGAACTAGGGATGATATGTTGGTTAAAACTGGGTCAACTATCATAAGCATGTTGAATGAGGAAGACTTAATGTAACAATGAAATTATCACAATTATCTTGGATGTTGGTTATGATTACTGTTTTAATAGCCCAATTGATGCTGGCCTTACACTGAAGTATTGTGGTGAGGAAGATTTTCTTCTGGATTGTAAATTGGATTATTTTCTTTCAAATTCTGAGTTTTTTTCCCATTAGAATCTTCCAAAAATTCATGTATGAATCTATGTATGAATAAATGTAAACCAAATTACAAAGTCATATAAGAAATGGTGAGTTTAATAATAAAAATGCAATACATATTGTGCATTACATGTTACACTTCACCTGCGGTTCAGGCAATCACCTGGATGCCAAGGGTATCTCCCTGCCAATATATAGATTCATTGTTATGCTTGCACAGGTGATTAATTATTTTCTCATATCATTAGTATTATTTACGTCTTTTGTAATGGCATACCCCATTTGTCGTTCTCCCTAAGATTGTGTCTAGAAATTCAATGTTTTTACTCGACTTGTGAATTTTTTTTAGTCTTTATATCTTATGGTGCTTGTGTCTCTGCATCATCAGAAAATTTTGATTGAGGACCAAATCTCAAGTGTGCTTTTCCACGTTTTACATGTTTGCTAGTTGTTGCAGTCTCAGTTTCTTCCATATGGTGTATCCTTATGCTGCGGATGCTTGTATGTATGCTTGTCATTAGATTTTCTTTTTTGTTCTTCTCTAAGGAGGTCAAAGATCAGTGCAACACTGATGTTCTACTGCTGACTTTGTTTTCATTCTACATGTTAATCCACTAGTAGGTGCTTTTGTCAGGGAATCAACTTAAGGAAACTCTCCATCTCACTTCCTTCTTAATGGCTTTCGTGATTGTTTTTTGCTCAACATCCATGACACTACCAACTTGGTAAAACTAATTTATTTTATTTTTGCAGGGATCATTAAGAAAACAAGAACTGTTATGGAATGCTTGCACCGCTTTTGCAGAGAGTGCATTGACAAGTCGATGCGTATGGGGTATGTAACAGAACTGCTACATTGTAATCATTATTTGATTCAGTAAACAATTTGAATTTTTAGATTTGGCGAATATAGTGTGTGTTTGAGTTAATTTAAATTCTATAACAATTATATTTTCGTTGTTTAGGTTGATAATTGACCTTTTGTTACAGGAACAATGAGTGTCCTGCTTGCCGCACACATTGTGCCAGTCGACGATCTTTGAGAGATGATCCAAGATTTGATGCCATGATTGAGAGTTTATATAATGATATTGAGAAGTATGAGGAGGAGGTAGAACTATGTCCATGATTTGGCCCAAGTACTTTGCTATTCACATTCCATGTAGTGTAATGAGAGTTGCTCACTTATTTGCTTCATATCTGGTTTCAGGAATTGGCTTTTCATGAAGAGGAGAAGACTCGCAATAAGCAGGTAAGATGTGAGAATAAGTGCTTAATGTTTGAAGATGCATGTTTTCCATGCTAGCTTGCTCGTACTTTTCCATTTTGACACGCTAAATGGGACTAGGGTTTCAAATGAGGTGATGTAACTACATCACACCATTTTGCTCGCACTTTTGCACCATTTTGACACACTAAATGGGACAAATATGGTGCTGTGACCACATCACACTGCCTATAACATCTCAAATTGGCACTGCTTGAATTTCTCTCTGATCAGAGCTCACTACCTAATTAAATGCCTTTATGGAGAGGTCATCTTAGCTTGTGAGATTTAGTAGGCAAATTTCAGGCATCATGATCATTGGTGCCGGAATTGTGAGTTTGATTTATATATATATATATTCATGACTACATTGTACTAATCCTCAAGGGCTGTCTGGTCATAATGCGAAGTGGAGTTAACACTCCCCCCCTTCCCTCTCCAGAACATCTGAAAATCTGTTCAGTGACATGAAGAATAAAGCAACTTGAAATTTCATCATTCCTTGCCATGTCTAGTTTTTTTTTTTCTCCCCCCTCTCTCTAAGCAGTGGTCTTTTCTTTATTATAACTTCTAGAAGTCACCATCACTATGATCAATATGTAATTTTTTTTTATTTTTTGGACTCTATTCTAGAGAACCTGTTAGGTTTTCTTTTGAATGGTTTAATCAATAAGTTGAGTCTTTTTCTGTGTCTGAATTCCTTGTTTTGAGTTAGGGTGCATTAGCATTCACACATATATATACAATATTTTGTTGGACAGATTCAAGCATCAATTGCTCAAATTTTTCAACGACAATCTGAAGCACTGGTAACGAGGCGCCAAAAAGGTAAAGATACAGCTTCTGCATCCAATGCAAGATTACCACGCAATGGTAATGCTTATTCTAGAAGAAGAAGAAAGAACCGAGGTGCAGAGCCTGAAGGATCTGAAGATAACGAGGAAGAAAATAATCATGATGAGAATAAAGATTCATCATCAACTGATGAGCGTGGAACAGAAACTAAGCAGAGGAGATACAAGAGAAGGGCAGGAGCTCAGTCATCCCGGCCTTCTCTATCAGCTGTAACTGCAGATGGTGGAGCTATTGAAAATGATTTAGAAGCATACAAAGAAGGCAAAGCTGCTTCTTCTGGGCCTGTGCGAAACCCTGAAATTCTTGCTTGGGGTGGAGGTGCTGCTCGGAGCAAGAGTGTCCGGAACACCCGCATAATGAAACTGACTAAATATTTTGGTCCTGCGAACTTAAAGAAGAATGATGATAAGGTATAGCTAAATTGTTGGATCAGTAACTTAGTCTGAGTTTAGTTCACCTGTGAGTGAACAGTATGTCATCCAGAAAGGTTTTCTTGAATACTCAGTTTTGATGCCATAACATTCCCAATTAGTTCTTTTGTATTTTTTTGAATCACATAGTAATTTCTGTGTGGCTTCATAATCTTTGCAATTCTAAGGGTTCTTATTTTGCAGTTAGATGTTCATCTCATGCTAACGTCTTTGGACAAACAACGAATGCCAAGTTTGCAGCAGCTGTACCTCTGTTGCCCACCACGCTTTTCAGTTGAACACCTTAAAAAAGTAAGAATTCTCTCCACCATCTATCTCCACGACTCCATATTGTCTCCGTACACTTCATCAATTAGGAGCACAGAAAATATTCATAATCACACACCATCATTAGCAAAGTAGTGATTACATGTAGAGCTGGCAGAGCTTACATCCTACTCTAAATATAATTTATTTTCACGCTTTTAACGCTTGTATAACTTTCTATTGCATGTGTGATGCTTGTATATGCACAGTATGTTGCTCGTGAGACACAATTACGGGCTGATGATATTGAAATACTAATGGTGATGAAGCAGCTGAATACCAATGATCTGCAGTCCACCCTTCTTGACCCGTTAACCTCAATGGAAAACCAAGTTGTGTTCCAAATTTTGCATGGGCCGGAACCTTTGGCAGATCTCCGACCCAATGGGGCATCAATTCCGAACCATTTGGTGCGTATAACTTCACAAATATGGGCACGTGCTTTTTGTTTGTTATTAATTGACCTCTCTTGTATTCTGACCATGCATGTAATTGAACATCCCATTGTAGTTAAATTAATTTTTAGAAGTCATTTTTCTTTAAGGACATTTGCTTTCAATTGCAGTGGAAAGAGAGGTGAAAGAATATCAACTAAATGGGAAATAGGGGAACTAAATGCAAATTAATGGAAATTTTGGAATTAGTTGCATGGGGCAATTAGTTGCATTGGACATAGTTGTCACTGATTTGCAATTAGTTTTTCTATTTCCCATTTATCTGATATTTTCCCAAAGAAATATGTACTGCATCAATATTTATAGGAGATTCATAGTTCATTCTCTATTTGGTTAGTTTCACATGCTACAATCATCTACTTTTACTTTGCTGTTTCAGATTCTGGCATATCGGCTGAAGGGGAGAGATTAAGAAGTTCAACATGGATCTATTGCAGGCTTTAGTTGACGAACTGTGAATGAACTGCTGCTGAAGGGATATATGGCTGAGGCTGGCTGTTTCTGATCCTGATGAAGATCATGTGATCTATGTTTTAAATCTATAGTTGAGGGCTCTAAACTTGTAAAAAACCATGTCAAAAATACAAATAACAACTTGGATGTTTTATGTATTATCTTTGGAAAATCTATATGGAGTTTACTATTGAACTTGTATGAAGTTTATCAGAAAAATAGTTGATGGCTTTGTAACTAAAATTTCTCTTAACAAATATGACAAAATATACTATTAGTTTTTGAAATTAGTTTTTGTGGTTTTAAAAAATATATTTTTTCTGTTCAGATAACAAGATTTTTGTGTTTTTCAAAAACTGAAAATTGAAGAAGGCCTAGGAAAATATTTTTAGGGTCATTGTAAGACAACAAAAATTGCATTGCAAACAACTGAAAAGAACCAAAAGATTAAATGAATTCACTTTACAAGAAAGAATGGGTTTTTGAGTATATTCAGTTTAGCATCAACAAAATGATTTTAATAATAATGATGACAACACAAATCAGAGTATTAGAACTTTGTCAGCACTAAAACTAATGGGTTCAAGAGTTGTTGAACAGCCCACCAGTCTCATCAAGAAAGCAACACAGCAACAATCACCTCATATGAGAGGAGGCACTTGAAGCGGCTGCCAGGGCACTGACAAATTTTCGTCTTTCTTTTCTTCGGTTGACATTCAGTTTTGGGGACTTTGGTTTTGTGATTTCCTTGGAAGACCTGCAAAACATGTTATTTGACTGGACATCAATGAACCAATCTGAAAAGGAAATGAAGAATATTAATATTAACATAAAATCATGCCATTTTTCCGTACCTTTGTGGTAAGAAAGGACGACCGAAGTTAGGCACTGGTCTTGCATGAGGCACCAATGTCCTCCTTAACTGCTTCAAGGCCTTCTCTTCCTCCATCTACGGGACAACAAGGGATTAAAAAAATTTAAATTACTTTCCCAATTTACATCCATAATATCGTGTTTAATAATGTATTTCCATACCAGTTTTGCAGACTCTGCCTCGTCTCTGTATCTCTTATACATCATCTCCTTCTCCTTAATCTGCAAAACATTTTAGCAAAAAGAAAGTCAACAAATCTGAGTTCGTTGTTTGTTGATGATTTCTGGTATCAAAGATAAAAATATAGCAGAAGAAATACCTTTTTATCAAATTCTGATCTATCCACAGCTCGATGTTCTACATGTAGATTGAATTCTTGAACCTCTGTCAGCGGTTTGCGTACTTTCTCAGGAACTGGAATTGGGTCTCTACAAATTGATAGTGCCATGGAGGGAGAATGACATTAATCTCTCTTTTTTACCTTTTTCTTTTCAATTTTTAAAGGAAAAAACTTAGGTGTTAAAGTACATATGCCATTTTCTTACTCTTTCAATACTGGTTGTGCCTTAAATATCCTCATCTGAGCTTCTTCCTCTTCCATTCTCCTCCTCTCTTCCATTTCCCTTAGCATTTCTTCTTCATGCCTTGTCAGACTCTCCAATTGGAATGGTTCTGGTTTTGTGCAATGCTTTGGCTCTGGTTTTGGTGGAATCTGCACAAGTAGTAGTCAAAATTAGTGTACCATATTGTAAAAATTCAAGCAATTAGAAATAGAGAGTGGGTTCCCCTAAAATTCTGTACCACAGGATAATCAGTAGTATAAGGATATGGGGTAGCCTTCGGAATCCTGGCTCTCTCATCTTCCAACTGTTTCTGCATGACTTCCATCACAAATTTCCTCTCTTTCTCTGCTCCTCTTTCCTAATGTCACAAATCAACCACAAAGCAGATTTAGTATAAAACATAACCAATTGGCAGATTTATCAACCAGCGTCGTGGATTTTCATACCTCTGTGTGGAGATGGAATGGATTTGGTGTAGTGTTCCTCAGAATTTGTTTGTAGTGGTGAGCTTCTGAATTCAATGAAAGCTGGAAAAAAATAAAAATAATAACATTATGAGAAACTGTCAATGGGGACGTTTTATACCTCTAACTGGAATTGGAATCAACAATACGCTTATTTAATAACCTTGTCAAAAAGATCAGCAACTGTTACTGGTGGTGGAATCCTTTCATCAATAGCAAAGTGAAACTCCTGAGGAATAGTGACATGCTGCTTTGTGTTACAAAACATCCCCAACTCTCCTTTACTTTCAAATATCTGCAAGATTCGAAAAACTTAAATCAATTCAAATGAAGAAATGAAAGTAGTACAAAACAAATTGATATAATTTTCTCATTAAAAAGCGGACGTATATACCTTCTTATTCAAAGGCCTTGCTTTGAACTTTGGAACTTTTTCAAGTTCTTCCCTTTCCAGTTCTTCAGAAGTTTTAATCCTTGGAGGCCGTGCCCTCAGAGATGTTTGAAGAAGGGGCGACTTGGGTGCTGTAAGATGAGCTGGTTTCCACTGATGATTCTGTCATAAACAAATTTGCAAATTTTTGGTCACTAACTAAACAGAATCCAATTTTATATTAACAAGGAAAAGATCTAAAATACCCGGGATGAGGCTTTATATACCTGCCAAGCAGATTCTGTTGAGGCTATAGTTGATGTTTCTGCATTTTGATTGGCCCTTTCCATCGTTTCCAAATGGAATTCCTGTAGAAGATTATAACTTTAGCCTTTGTAGTTTTATTGCATTTCTTGTTCTCACCAACATCAATCCATTGTATACTTTACCTGAAATTCGGGTAGATGGGGTGTACTTCTTGGTAGTGCTGGCAAGCTTGGAGCTTCCAGAATCTGTAATGAACAAAAGAGCCAATTCAATCCAACATATAGACCAGATGTTAACAAAGCGATAACGGAGATTCCTAAATAGCAAAGTTAAAAAATGAGTACCTTCTTGTTTACTGGCCTAGCCTTAAACTTCGGAATTTTAGCCATCATCTCTTCCTCAAGTTCAGCAGAGCTCTTGGCCCTGACTGAGCGAACCCGCTGAGCCGTTTCAAATTCAGGTTCCTTGGGCCTCGTCAATGTAAGTCTGGGCTTCCTCTGCACTATTGAAGCTGCAGCATCCTGAAAGTTGAAATGGAAGATAAGGAAAATAAGCAATACAAATTATAATAATCAGGAGCGAAACAATTTTTTTATGGTAAGAAAAGAAAGTAGGTTTAGTCATTTACATGCGAAAGAGAACCGTTCATGTGAGGTATAGACATCTCTCTTGTGTTAGATTGAAACTTCTTCATCATTTCTGCCATTGAAACAAATGGGACTGCTGGTTCCCGAACATAAACCTTTACATCCAATAAAGTATTCAGTAAGTCAGCATTGCTACTTCCATAAACCATATGAAAACTTAAAAGGAATTTTATAAAAAATATCAAACCTTTCTGTCCTCTTTACGAGTTTTCGCAGTTGAAGAGCACAAATTGTAACTGCTGCTGTTGATAAGACCAAGTCTTGATTTGTGGGCCAAAATTTGAGTTTTGATACTAAGAATCTAAAAAATTAAGGTTAAACAAACAAACATTTCAGGTGAAGTAATCCAAAAAAAGAGAGAGAAAATGAGCAAATAGTACTCTAACCTGTCTGGCATTCCCTCCTTCCAACTTTTGCCTTTTAATGGGTTGGTTTTCTTGAGCAAAATTAGGAGTTGCCACAGTGTTTTTCAAATTTGTTTCTCTACATGTTCCATCCAAGAGCACCCCCAATCAGTACAGCGGCATACAAACAGATTTAAAAACAAAAAGCAGAGAATGACAGGCAACTTTGATATGATTTAAAAAACACAAGAAATCTTATTAGATACCTTCTCATACTAGCTGGTTTAGTGCCTTTAGCTTGTGATAACTGTGACCGATTTTGTGACTTTTGTGATTTCAGGGCTGATGGGTTTCTGACCATACTAGCAATCTTTTTGGCTGTCTGTTGTTTCTTGAGATCAGTCTGTGACAGGTCACCCTTTTGAGGAGCCCTTGCCAGGTTAGGGGTGCAAGTTTCCTGTGTAGTGGATGATGTCTTATCCTCATCTTTAGGTGGTTCAACTTTTACACTGAAATCAGCAGAAAAATAAGAAAACAAGAAAGTGATGAGGATTGCACTTTTTTTTTTTTTTTACACGTCAATTTTTCTATCACTAACCATTGCACCACAAGCCTTAAATGAGAAATATACAAACCTTCCATTTTCTTTGGAAATTGCAGTGTCCTTGGCATATCACGGTCTTCTCATCCGAGCAGAACCTGAAAGGTGGTAATAATCGTTCAGAAATAGAACCACAGGACACAACTGCTTCTAATGTATGTCGTGAGCTGTTGGAAAATTTTCAAGCAACTAACATACTGGATTGACAAGGCTTGCAGCACTAACTTCTTTGACCTCAATTGGGGCTACTTCTTCCCTGATTTCAGCTGGCATGAGTTGGGATTGAGGCCTGTTTCAGAAGGGGTAATTAGTTGATTTCCGCAATGTGTGCCAAAAAAGGAAAATGATAACGAAAAAAAAAAAATATGAAGCAAAACGCTATGTGAAATTACTACAAAATAATGACCCACTGACCTCGTCTGATCCTTCTCCGGCATGAGTTGGGATTGAGGCCTGTTTCAGAAGGGATAATTAGTTGATTTCCACACATGTATTACAATGTGTATATGCCAAAAAAGGAAAAAGATAACGAAAAAAACAAAAAAATGAAGCAACACACTGTGAAATTACTACAAAATAATGATCCACTGACCTCGTCTGATCCTTCTCTGGCCCCAAGGGTATTTCCTCGGTGATATTTGATGCAGATTCTGATGAAGTTGGTGCCTGCAACTAAGTAGCAAAAAATTTCAGTCAATCACGAGGTTTGCATCTAAATCGAAGTACATTCACAGGTAGCTTTAAGTTCCAGAAGAGAAAAATAAGACTTGAAAAAAAGGGTTGCATTACACCACCTTCTGTGATTCTTCGGCTTCACTAAAGTCACACAGGCTTTCCACATGAACTGATCTACCTGTCTTGATTCTTGGCATAAAAGCTGCAAAATTTAACCCAGAAAAAAAAACATCAGACCCCCGAAAAATGGCAATCTACTACTGGTACTAACATCATCACCATCTGGTCAAACATTATGATCATTGCTTGGGGCCTGTAATTGGTAATTTTATTTAGCTTCATTATAAAAAAAAATGGACTCATCATCGTTTTCACTTCTAGACCATATAAACCCTTATTCACCATGCTGAGATAATAATACTAAAACCTAATATTCCAATTTTTCTTGGGAAGAAGTATTGATAAGAGACCTTATTTTGTTTTATCATCATCACTCATCACATCACTCATTGTCCAAAAGAGACAAAATAAATATGTTCTTTTGTGAAGCACTAAGCATTCTTCGATTCCAGGTAACATTACAGAAAACCTAAAGGGCAGACAAACAGAAGGGTTGAAATGCAATTTCCTGTTCTGAGCCTGATTTTATCAAATAATTGATGAGTATACTAGGGTTTATTGTCTGAAACAAATTAAACATTTACAAGAAATTGAGAACGGCCAAGCGGTGACTCAAATCAAACCTTAATTTCACATTAAATAATCAAGATCACTGTTTGGAACCATAAAACCCAATAATCAAATAAGTTAAACATTTTTGTCCAAAGTAAACTAATCTACTTGGTGAATATCACTCACATTTAAAAGCCCTAAATCCCCAAGAAATTGCATTCAAAGTACACTTGGATGATCAAAATTTCAAGTTGAAGAACATTATTTAATCCCTAATTAAAATTGCAAGAAACACAAGAACAAGAACCCAAGCGATTGACACAATTCAGGAGACAAGTGTAGTGCATCTACAACAATGAATAAAATTAATTTCAAACAACAAAATTATTGAAACCCTAAAAAGTTCCAAAAACGCCTACCCAATTCGCAATTGCAAGAAACGAAAGAAAATTATTTCGGTCGGGATCAAGAAATTTGTTTTGTTTTAGCCCTAATAAATATCCAAAAAAAAACTCAAATGAAATTAAAAGACGTACGAGAAGGGGCGTAGGTGAGGGCGGTGTCGAACCAGAGCTCTGCTTTGTGCATGTCGTCCTCAGACTCGCCATTGATGAAGTCGAAGAACCGAGGGGCCGAGAATTCGTAGGCCTCGTCGATCATCAAGTCACTACTACTGGACTCGTCCACCATAGCCATTGGGTTTGGTTTTTTTTTTTTTTTTCTCTCTCTCTGTAGCGTTCGTTTGGTTGTTGTAGAGAAAACAAGTAAAAATCAGAGTTTTAGAGAGAGAAAGTGCAGATTTAAGGCAGGTGGGTGTGGTCTGGGTTTCTTTCCTTCTTACAAGATGATTTCCTTTTCCTTTTTGTTGATGAGAGAGAGAGAGGGAGTGGAGGAGGTGTATTAACGTTCCGATTTCTAACGGTCGAATTTTCGAATGCTTGGGAGCCGGCGTCTGTTGAGTTGAAATGGGGGCGTATATGTAACGGCTATAATGGCTATTGCCACGAACTAGCGCAACGACGTCGTTGCAATGATATGGGCTTGATTGCTCTCCCCATTCTAACATAAATTATTAGGTGCGCAAGGCACCACTTATATGTCATATTATCAATTGTCATATTATCTATGGTTTTCATCATCACTAACGAAATAGGTGGATTCTTTCTCATCTTCTCCACTAATTACATTTGATTTGGAGCACCGCATACACCAAATAACTTCTCTTCTTCAATGTACAATTATGGAACAATCTTCTTTTATAAGCTTTATATTATTTTTCCATATTTTCTCTCATTTCTTGTTTACATCTCTCAGCCTTGTTTGGGAACATGTTATTTTAGTAAATTTTTGACTAAAATATGAGATAAAAAAAATTAATATATTTGGGATTATTTTTTTACTTTTTACGAAAAAGATATGCAAAAAGTAGAGAGAAAAGAGAATCTTTGACTTTTTGATATAAGTTGTAGGCTTTTTAATTTTTTTTAGTAACTTTTTGACGTTTTAACTAAAATGTTAACTTGCCAAATGAGGCCTCAATATCCCTTTTTGTATATGTGCTTCTTGATCTAATTTTATTATCATCTTTTATGGACATATGATCACTTCTTAAATTATAATATTTCTTGTATAGAAAATTAAGTTAATAACAAAAATTGGAAAAGAAAAAAAAAAGATCAATTAACTTGAATATGTCTTTAAATAGAACTTTGGCATCGTGCTGCTTTTTAGTCGAGAGATGATAGAGACCACTAAAAGTGGTGTTCTAAAGCAACCACTAATGATGTGGCATCTATTTCTTTAAAAAAAAAAAAAAAAACAGCACTGTGATAGTGGGTGGAACCCACTACCACATTATTAATGGTGACACTAATTAGTGCTCCACTCATTTTCCTTTTTTAGTCCTATCACCAAATAAAAGTTAGGTTAACTTAGATTGTGTTTCTTTATTATGATTTCACTTTAGTGTTATTTCCATAATCAAAATCCTAACTCTGTCACTGCTCACAATTTTTTTGCTAAGCAAAAAAAATAACTAAAGCAACGGCTAAGAAATCAACTGCTACATTATTTCAAAATATAGTCATCTGATCATACATAATTCTTTTATTTTCCTGTTTTTGTTTTCTGTTGCCCTGCAGAAAATCCTATTTTTTTCTCTGTTTAACATCTCCTTACAGAATTTCCAACCATAGTTTTATCTTTCCAAAAAAAAAAAAAAAAATTCACCTTTCTTTTTTTCATTTTTTAAAAAATACTTTTCAAAAAATTTTTCTTTTTTATTTTTCGTATTTTTTTTTTTTTATTTAATTTTTTTTAAATTTTTTAAATAATTTTTTTTTTTTACTTTTTTAGATGTACATGTGTTATGCTCTAAAATTTGGACAATTAAATATTAAATTAGGACTAAATCCTAATTAATATTTCATCATTCAAATCCTAAGGGTGAAACAAAAAAACTAAACGCCAATCAAACCATCCACTATAATTTCATAACTAACCAATGCCTCCAACATTAAAGTAACAATACATAGTCAAAATAACTTAAATAATGTACGGTTACAAACCATACCAAATTATTTCAATACTAAAGTTATAAAAAAAAAAAAAAATACATAAACTAA